GTCGCTGCTCCTCCACGTCGAGAGGAGCCAGCTGAGGTGGCTCGGGCATCTGTTCCGGATGCCTCCTGAACGCCTCCCTGGAGAGGTGATCCAGGCATGTCCCACCGGGAGGAGGCCCTAGGGAAGACCCAGGACACACTGGGACTATGTCTCTCAGCAGGCCTGGGAACGCCTCGGGATCCCCCCGGAGGAGCTGGAGGAAGTGTGTGTGTGGAGAGGGAAGTCTGGGAGTCCCTGCTCAGACTGCTGCCCCCACGACCTGCCTCCGGATAAGTGGAAAAAAATGGAATGGAAGGGAAAGAAACACATGTAATGAATAAATGCTTGATGGAAATGTTCAAAGTTATACCATGGAACCTTCCAGGCAAAGCAATAACATCTCCATGGAGACAAGCAGGTAGCAGACCCTCCATCAGAAAAGTTTCGTAGTGCAACTTTAAAACAAAAACTTGCTGTCTAAACATGATTAAAGGTCCTATATTAGGGATGTAACGATATACAAGTCTCACAATATGATATCGTCATGGTATGAACCTCACACTACGATATTTATTGTGATATGGTGGGGAGGCTCATGATTAGGAATGTAACAATATCCAAATCTCTCTTTTTGTACGATATTTATTGCGATATTTTGTGGAGTCTAACAAAACTGTGAATACGCTACTTTTTCCTCTTAAAATGCCTTGACAAGACTTAATGCAAAGAACTACGACTTAAAAGTGCTTAGAATTGTTATTTCTTCTTGTAGTCTGCACTGAAATGGAGCAAAGGATCATGGTCTATGTAGTTCCCTCTGTCTTTTTTTTTTTTTTTTATCTATTGCTGCACCATAACTCTTCATTTCAGCAAAGAGACTTCAATATATTGTGATGGTCCACATTTTTATTGTGAGAACTTTGACGATACATATGACGATATGATGATATTTCGGTTACATCCCTCTCCTATATTCTGCTAAATTGATTCTTGTGAGTTTTAAGTCATGTTAGAATGTTACTATCTCCTCAAAGACAGACCTGGAGTTGTGTTTTAGTTGTGTTTTACTTTATTTATTAGTCTGTCTACATCTCCAAAGCTCAGAATGCTCCGTTCCACCTTGTGATGCAATGAAGTGGTAGTTTTCATGTTAACAGCTACATTTTACTTCAGTTTAGTTCAGTAGAGATTTGCTCTTCCAGGTCTGAAATAATGCAAATCATTTTAGTGAAGGTGTATGGAGTTTAAAAACACTACATGACATCACAAGGTGGAACTGAGTCTTTTCTGTTTCAGAGAAGAACAGTGAACGAAACAAAACACTCCAGGTCTGATTTTGATGAGGAAACTACATTATAACATGGATCAGAAAAAAATATAAATAAATAAAAGAATGGACAAGTGTTACTTTTAATGTTTTTTTTTATCGTTTCATTTATTACATTTTAGTCCAAAACAATACAAAATGTTCAGACCACATTGCATCAGACTGTACCTACTGGAACAAACTTTAATATTTGTCCAGTACGAGGATACATTTGTTTTGAAACGCTCTGGTCTGTATTGCGGCTCTTGAATTTACACTCCCCTTTGGGACCAGGTGCACCGAGTAATTCATTTCCCAGCCGTTCGAGATAACTGCACTTTCAGCCTCGCTCTAATATAAATGCTGCCACTCACTTTGCTTCACTTCATTACAGAAAATATGCTTGTTAACATTAATCTTGTGCTGACTAGTTTTGTTTTAGTTCTAGATGTATGTGAAAGAGGTCTGTATTAGGCTGTTTTCTAATCTAAGTTATTTATAATGTAGTTTCCTCATCACAAACAGACCTGGAGTTGTGTTTTGTTTCATTCATACAAGTTTAACCATGCACATTTTGCACGAGTTCTTCCCTCAAACAGAAAACCCTCTCATTTCAGCTCTGTAACTGCCAATCTCGACTGCTGTTAACTTGAAAACTATCACTTCATGACATCACAAGAGCAGAGCTTTTTGAGCTTTGGAGATAGACAGACTAAAAACAAAAGGATTGTGTAATAAAATCGCACATTTATTATTTCTCAGACAGTGGAATATATGTTTTCCCTTTGACAACTAAGTCACATGGTTAAGGTTAAAGCATGTAGTGATACGAACGGAGAGAAAATAGTGCCAAGCGATTATGAGGTCTGACTTTTTCGTTTGATGCAGTTGGATCACTCTTTTGAACACATTTTGTTTTATTTTAATCTCCCCAGCCAACTTGCCAGACTACTTTCGTCAGCACAAGAACCGGCCAGTATCTCGGCTCACCAGACACTGTCGGGAGTAAAGTCAGTGTGGATGCACGACTCTGCTGACGGGGATGCCATACAGATTCATGTCAAAAAACCTGAACTATCCCCAAGTCTTTTCCAAGCAGAATTATTATTATTTTTTTCGATATCAATATAATTAACCCTTAAAGATGCACTATGTAACTTATCTGGCGGCGGGGCTGCTGTCTGCTAGCCTGATTCATCGGCCAGTTTCACTTTTTGGAAACCATCTGACCTCGCAGCATTAGGATTTGTTTGCTTGACGGTAGGCAGGTACTTTTTTTATTTAACCAATTGCTGTTATTTGGTCATGACGTATGTAATGCGTCGCTAACGGGGCTAATTGGTATATTAAGCTTTTCCCAAGTCCCATAAGAAGAAGGGTAATAATGTCTTTCCTCTTGATAAAATTCACCAAACATTCTCCTTGTTCCGGCTTTAAATCCTCAAGAATCTCGGGAATCATTAACAACACAGAATGTATGGCTCTTCTCTGATTGGCTGGTGCCTGGACTCGGTTCTTGCAAACCATCTAGTGTATTCTGATTCCTGACCTAGTCGCTGGAGAGAAATGAAATTGAGGAGAGGCACTAGGTGGCGCCGGCCTGGCTACTGCTACCTGCTCATCTCCATGGAGATGTTATTGCTTTGCCTTGAAAGTTCCATGGTATAACTTTGACCATTTCCATCAAGCATTTACTCATGAAGGATGTTTCTATTTCTCCAAAATATGATAATTCCTTTTGTAAATAGGGACACCTCTCCACAGATCTGACTTTTAATGTAGCTTAGTGCTGTGACCTGCTTGTCTCCCTCGTGATAAATAGATTTAATCTATACTGTGAGACATTTTAGACAAAGCAAACCGTTCTTGTAAACCAACTAGTGTATTTTGATTCCTGAACTAGTCGCTGGAGAGAAATGAAATTGAGCAGAGGCACTAGGTGGCGCTAGAATGGCTAACCGTCTGCTTTCCTCCATGCCTGGAATGTTCCACAGTACAGCATTACATGTATATAATCCAGTGGAGACAAGTAGGTGGCACTACCAAACTAAAATACAGCTCGGATCTTTGGAGAGGCAACCCCGCTCAAGAATGTATGTTTTTCAAGTTTTGTTTATTAATCAAATACTAGACTGATTAATAAATATAATCCCATATTTTGTGAAACATTCCACAGACTCCCCCACCAGAAAAGTTACATAGTGCATTTTTAACATTCCACAACGTCACTGCTCACAATAACAAGGCATGTTTTGTTTTTGTGTAGTTTAGTTTTTTTTTTTGGACCAAACCTGTGACTGAACAAAAACTGTGGAACATTCCAGGCAAAGCAATGACATTTCCACAGAGACTAGTGGTAGATCCCTCATCAGAAAAGTTACACAGTGCACCTTTAACAGCCCACAGCTTGACTCATCTCAGACGTGCTCCTCTCGCTTCGTGCCTGGCCCCCCCTGCCGCGCTGGAGGTTTCCGGACAATGGCACGTGCACAATAGTTTTTTGGGTGGTCTTGTAAAAAAGCTCCACAGTGCAGAGAATGAGCGTCACCGAAAGCACAAAACAAGGAGGTGTCAAACAAACCCTCCCCCTCCTCCCTCCCTCCTCCTCCTCCTTCCTCCCTCCTCCTCCCCCTCAGCCTTATCTCCCGTCAGCCAGTCTGATTCATAACGCCATCGCCGGATCATATTTGAAGAGCTGAAAACACTTACAGAGGAACAAAATATTGGTCAGCAGTTTCTTTTTGAGTCAGAAATGTATCAAATGTGTCAGTAACAGTGGTGGAAGGAAAATTAAAGATGCATTGCGTAACTTTTTTTCTAGTGGGTGTGTCTGAAAGCTTCACACTGAACAACTAATCTAACATTTATTCAGTTACTGGCGTCTGATTGCTTCATAATATCATGTTTCTTCTAGTGAATGGGGTCATCTTTGCACAGATCTGACTTGTAATTTGCTCTTGCTTATCTCCATGGTGATAGACATATAGTTAAATGCCATACTGAGGAATATTCCAGCAATTTTGCAAACCATCCACTAGAAAGTTACAGAATGAATTTTTTAAAGGATTTTCCAACTGAACTAATCTTTGCCAGACATGTTTTTGTACTTTTTTTTTCACATTTTAAGTTTTATTAATTTATTAAGTTTTCAAGTTGTAATTTGTTTTTCAGTCAGTAACATTGTTTTATCAGAATTATCAGAATGAAAAGTTTGGAAAATACAAGTGTCCAGATTTCAAACCAGAAAGTTGAAGAATTTAACAAATGTATTTCTGAAATGAGCGCAAAAAGAGTTTCTGTTTCTATTCACAAGTGCGTATTAAAGTACTTTAACTTTAGATTAGATTGACAGTATTTTAAAGTCAGATTTCCATGATACCTCTACTTAGGTTTTACTACTCTGTTGTTTTAGAAAAGAAATTGAATCCTCGTTCCACCGCTGCTATTCTGAGCCCAATTTGATTACTCCTAAGAGTCCAAAGAGTGCGGCCGGTGCGGGGAGGGCCTTCCCACACACACAGGGGCCAGTAGGATGTGAGAGAGGGAGGAGGAGGAGGAGGAGGAGGAGAGGGGGGGCCCAGAGAGGAGGGGCCCATGCCAGACACATGCTTTTGGATTTCTCATTAATTCACAGTGGCCTTCTTTTCAGTTTTTTTTTTTACTTTTTTTGAAAGCCCGCCCCCTGTCCATTATCAACAGAAGCCCTATATATGCACTAGCTGTTTGTCAGTACACAGGAGTCCTCTTGCACCCCACTACCACATACAGACGATACAACCATGAGAGAGTTCAAGAGCAAGGATTTCTGGAGGGCTGTTTTGGCCGAGCTGGTGGGCATGACGCTTTTTATATTCCTTAGTTTGTCTACAGCTATAGGCAACGTCAACAACAGTAACCCGGACCAGGAGGTGAAGGTGGCGCTGGGCTTCGGGCTCGCCATCGCCACCCTGGCTCAGAGTTTGGGGCACATCAGCGGGGCGCACCTGAACCCCGCCGTCACGCTGGGGATGCTCGCGAGTTGCCAGATAAGCGCCTTCAAAGCGGTCATGTACATCATAGCGCAGATGTTGGGGTCGGCGTTGGCCAGCGGGATCGTCTACGGGACCAAACCCAACACGACGGCCGCTCTGGGCCTCAATTCTGTGAGTACTTTTCTTATTTTGTCCATAAAGTTTCATTTAAATGATTGAACGCAGCAACTTAGATATGCATGAATTTCAAAGAGGTGGGAAATTTGCACTGTTGTCATGGTAATTAACCATTCAAAACAAAAATATTATGGTTTATGAATGAGCAAAAGTCCTCAAAAAACCACAAGGAAGTTGAAACCGGTGAAATATTAGCCAGGATTTGATTAAATATAGACTTTTTGTGAGTCTATATTGTATGTGATTGTGTGTAATTCTAATGTTTTGTGTGTGTGTGTTTGTGCAGAAATCAACACAAAAGCACAAAAAGTTGCAATGCATGTCTTCTTTAATCAAATAAATGTGATTTCAAGTCAATAACAAAGTATAACTTGTTAAGAAAAACTTAAACTCAGCCTTTTTAGATGCCCAATATTGTCTAATAACTTACATGCAACATTCTGAGGACTTTTTCTGATTCAAGAATTTAATATTTTGTTTAAGAACTATGGAAACAGTCCTAGTTTTTATATAAATCCTCAAAATTTCCATGAATCTAAATGGAAACATGATGAATTCTACACCAAAATCATGTTGCAGACTTTAAACTTTTTTATTATTAATGAAAAACTTCAAATGTACAAGACACAAGTTGGGAAGTACAAAAAAAAAATAGATGACATTCTGACAGGTTGAAGTAAGAAGAAAAAGGATATTTAATAATTAATCAATAAAAAAAACACTTTAGAAACACACGGGGGGGTCCATGTGATTCTTCTTGCCCCGGGCCCCAATATTTCTGTGGACGGCCCTGCATAAAATAGTTATCAAACTTATAACTTGTTTTTTTTGTTGGTGTTTTGTAGCTGGCCGGTGTAACTCCCAGCCAAGGCGTGGGCATCGAGCTGCTGGCCACGTTCCAGTTGGTGCTGTGTGTCATCGCGGTGACTGATAAAAGGAGGCGTGATGTCACAGGCTCTGCTCCTTTAGCCATTGGCCTGTCCGTGTGCCTGGGTCATCTGGCTGCGGTGAGTGGCCCCTCGATCGTGTTTACTTAACTTCCTCGGCCAGATACTGCGCTGTTGGTGCTGCTGGTTTTGGTGTGGTTCACCAATACGGGTTAAGAGAGGTTATAGCTGATTAATTGTGTGTGTGTGTTGTGTTTTTTTTTTTTAACAGATAAGCTACACGGGCTGCGGCATCAACCCGGCGCGCTCTTTTGGGCCAGCGGTGATCCTCAATGAATTCACAAACCACTGGGTAAGACAAATTTTACTGACGTTTTCTTATCCTTCTCAAATGCTGGGGCTCAAATTTGGCACATACTTAAAGCTGCACTGCGTAACTTTTCTAGTGAAGGATCCACCACTTGCTTGTCTCCATGGAGATGTTATCGCTCCGTCTAGAATGTTCCACCGGATAGATTAAAGCTATCTATCATGAGGGACACTGCACTACGCTACATTACAAGCCAGATCTGTGGAGAGTCGTCCCTATTCACAGACAGAATGATTGTATTTTTAAGCAATAGAAACAAATGCTTGATATGTTTAATGTCATACCGTGGAAATTTCCAGGCTAAGCAATAATATCTCCATGGAGACAAGCAGGTAGCGGACTGTGAACCAGAAAAGTTGCGCATTGGACTTTTAATAATGTGAGCAAAACCACATTCAGTGCGTTTCTAAGCAAACCGAAAACGTAAATAATAAAAAATACTATAAAATATCAAAGGACTCTTAGTACAGCAACAAGAAATCAAAATACCAAACCAAATAATTAACAACTTGTAATACCATTAACTAGTGTCTCCGCTCAATTTCATTTCTCTCCAGCGACTAGGTCAGGAATTGAAATACACTAGACGGTTCACAAAAACTCCAGTAGTGTGAGTTCGGGCACCAACTAATCAGTGAAGAGTCATACATTCTGTGTTGGCAAAGATTCCGAGATCGAGGATTTAAAGCCGGAACAAAGAGAATGTTTGGTGAATTTTATCAAGGGGAAAGACGTTATTGTCCTTCTTCCTACGGGATTTGGGAAAAGATTAATACATTAAATACGTCACAACCAAATAGCAGCAATTGGTTAAATAAAAAATGTACTCGCCTACTGTAAACCGAACAAATTCTAATGCTTTGAGGTCAGATGGTTTCCACAAAGTGAAACCAGCAAGCTACTGGTTTGAGCCCAGTTTAACCCAAATGTAGGCCCGGTTTAGCCCTTGTCTAGTCCAGGTTTAGTTCTGGGTTTAGTCCCAATATTAATATGATGATCGTGAAAGTGTGAGCTCACCCTAACAGACCCCAGTCCTCTTTAACCTCGAACCAAATTCAAGCAAGTTATCAGATATTTACATATGTGTCACTGTTCAGTTAAGAATGTGTGTAGCAGGTTTGAGTAAAAGCTAGAAAGATTTTTCTCACTTCCCATTTGTCATACTTTTCAGTCAAGTCTTACAATGTAGTTTCGTAATAACTGCAGCTGCACCTAAACTAACGCTACGAAAGTCAAATCAGCCAAATGCTTTTATACCAGAGAGACACAAGTAACTCATCCTTCTTTGTCCTCCCAAATACTGAACATTCCACACACAAGAAAGAGCATATTGTCTAAATCTTACTGCATAATCACAATACTTGTGTCGTTCTCAGGTGTACTGGGTGGGTCCCATGTGCGGAGGCGTGGCGGCAGCGCTCATCTACGACTTCCTCCTTTATCCCAAAGACGATTTCCCCGAGCGCATGAAGGTCCTGGTGAGCGGACCCATCGGAGACTACGACGTCAACGGGGGAAACGACGCGACAACCGTTGAGATGACCTCAAAATAACCACTCCTCTGCCATATTGTACATATATATGATCTTGTAAAATACATTGAATTTAGTGTCAGTTGTGTTTTTTTGTATAATGAAGTGTCCTCTTTTGTCTAACGGCTGAGAATCAAAAGAGTGGAAGTGGAATTTTGGGCAGAAAAATTACAATTGACAGTGTTACAAAGAACTATTGGAGTAAAATATGTTTAGTTTTTTTCAATATTACAACAAATTCATTTAAATGTTTAGTTTTTTCAATGTAAACTGACACATATTCTCATTTATTTTAACATCTAAACTTCTGTCACTCAAGTTATGGCATTTTTGATGAAGGAATTTTCCAAACAATAAACCTTATTTTTGTTTGAATGTGAAAATGTGTCAACTGCCATCGAATTTCAAAAATTACAATATTTAGTAATTGAATTTTAGTTTAAACTGATTTTTTTTCTGTTTCTAGAATGCCACTTGCACCTTTTGAATTCTCAACCTTATTTTTTTCTTATGCATTTGAACTGCGACTTAACCCTTCGCTGCCATCAGTATTCTCTATTGAGCCATGTTTTTGTATTATTCATATATAAATGTGTTTATCACTAAAGAATGTGTTTGTGCACTCCTGAAATGCCTCACTTTTATAAATAAATAAAACACATTGTTATATATTTATATCAAATTTGTCCTGAGAATTTGTCATGTGAAGAGTCCAAAACAAGTAGTTAGAGAGAAAACAGAAGTCTGAACGTGTAAGCCGAGTGACATGATGAGAATAATGAGGATTAGGCAAATACAGGGTCACCAAAACACGGAAAGGTCGCGCACACGTGGAGTAAGCATGCAGGGTGACGGGCACGTGAATAAGATCATCTGACAAGGTGGGAAAAGAAGGAAAGAAAATGGGAAATGTATTTTAGAGAGGGAATGTCATGCGAAATCCACTTTTTTGGAGCTTTCTTATAACAATGTTTCCTTGTGAAAAACATTCCTGAAGAGGTTTTGTATGTCATCCATGTTTGTTTGAGTAATAGAAAGACCTCTCCTAGACTCTGTTTTCAACGGTGAGCATTATAATTCTATCCAAAGTTCAACACACACACACAATCCGTGTATCATTCGTTCATTTGTTTTTCAATATAAAACCAAAAATAAGAAAACAAAAAAACAGTTTTCTTCAATATTTGTCTCCAAAACCAAAATGAAAAAATGGATAACGATTTGTTTTTTCAGTTTTCGATTTTGTGTTTAAATAAATAAGTAAGTATTTATATAATGCTTTTCACAGACATTTTTGTCACAAAGACGCTTTACAGATCATTACATTCAGCATTATTCATTCACTCTATACCTGGTGATGGTAAGCTACTATTGTAGCCACAGCTGCCCCGGGGCAGACTGACAGAAGCGCGAATGAAGAATGGAAAAAACGTCCTGGTATGGGCCTGGTCTCTGTCTCAGTGCCAGTCTGGTCCCGGTGTGGTCCTGGTCTGGTCTTGGTCTCAGTCCCGGTCTGGTCTTGGTCTCAGTCCTGGTCTGGTCCTGGCCTGGTCCTGGTCCTGGTCCCGGCCTGGTCTCAGTCTTGGTCTGGTCCCGTTCTCAGTTCTGATCTCAGTCTCGGACTGGTCTCGGACTGGTCTCGGACAGGTCTCGGACAGGTCTTGGACTGGTCTCGGTCTGGTCTCGGTCTCAGTGCTGCTCTGGTCCCGATCTGGTCTCAGTCTGGGTCTGGTCCTGGTTTCAGTTCTGATCTCTGGTCTCGGTCTCAGTCCTGCTCTGGTCCTGGTCTGGTTTCAGTCTTGGTCTGGTCCTGGTTTCAGTTCTGATCTCTGGTCCCAGTCTGGTCTCAGTCTGGTCTCGGTCTGGTCTCGGTCTCAGTCCCGCTCTGGTCCCGGTCTTGTCCTGGACCTGGATCAGTCCGTATGCATCGCAGTCACGGAAGCCACGTAAATGGGCAACGGCCGTTATCCGTTTTTTCCATTCTTCATTTAAACACAAAATAGAAAACTGAAAAAATTTATCGTTATACGTTTTTTCATTTTGGTTTTGAAACAAATAATGAAGTTGTTTTTTCATTTTCTTATTTTTGGTTTTATATTGAAAAATGAATGAATGGATGATTCACAGATTTCCCACACTGCACTTTTCTATAAATATACAAAAGCGTGACACAAAACAATAGACAGCACCTTCACTAAACTGATGCGATGTGCAGAATTCAGTCATTAGCGTGCACACTGATTGTAACGTGATAGCGCTCTGAAGGGGGAGTGACATAGCATGGGAAGTAAGGGGAGGGGGGCTCAGAGCATCAAAAACTAAAGTGAAACTTATGTAACATTTAAAAACATTGATTTGGGCAAATATAGCATTTTCAAAACCATAAAAGGTAACTTGGTGATCTAAATATTGTATGTTAACAGTTAATGCCTTACAAAAGTGCAATGGCCCCTGTGTAAAGAATTAAAAGTAGTCAAAAATGTTTCTTAATAGTTGCGTTTTCTCTTTTTGTGCTTCCAAATTTTAACTGCTACTACCATATTTTTCAGACTATAAGTGGCACTTTTTTGGGGAAATTTATTTTATAAAATGAGACCAAGAACCGACATTTCATCTTTAAAGTCAAGTTCTAATAATAACAATAGAAGAGAGAACAACAGACTGTTAACCTCACATATGAACAGTTCTTCAGATAAACTATAACATAAACAACAGAACAGAACAAGTTTATCAAACTCTCCATCTCACTCCAAATCACGAAATCCATTCAATTCTTCATCCTCCGTGTCACTTCTGAGCAACTGAGCAACCTCCAGAGGTAAACAAAGAAACCTCTTCTGTGTAGCTGTCGTCAGACTCAGCATCAGTTCCAGTTAGAATTATTCTGGTCTTTCTGAATCCTGACAGGATGGTTTCTGTGTCACTGAAGTCCAGGCTTTGTCCATCCATCCAGTCTCTTCCAGGAAAGTTGCATGGTGCATCCTCTCGGTTCCTGTGAAGCTGTGTTCTTCATCTCCGCTTTCCGTCAGTCCCTCTCAAGTTTCTCGCTCACTCCAAACTTTCTTTCTGCTGCTCGATTATCTTTTTCAGCTGAATATTTCACTACTTGCAGCAGGACAGAGGCTCTTTCTGCAGGAGACATTCAGTAGAGTGAAGTGACAGTGGTAGTGGAGTAATAGAGCAGCAGATACTGACACACAAGACTAGAGTCTTTCGGGGCTTCAGTGTGAACATTTTAATATATAAGTTGCACCAGAGTATAAGTCACAGGAAACACCCAAACCATGAAAAAAGTGCTACTTATTGTCTGGAAAATATGGTACTTCAAAATAACATGAATAACACATGAATTGAAGTTTATTCCAGTGGTTAAGTAAATGTAAGCCTCACTGAGAAAGTACACTTTGTAACCTTTTAAAATGTTTTATTATCTGCAGAATCTCATATCTCCACATGCACTGCGGCTTTATCTCACCAGTGCAGGACAAAAGTGCTTGGTGTACATTTTCTGGTTGTGGGTCCGACACCTGCATGTCTCCAAGGTGTTACTGCTTTACCAGGACACAATATGGCATTACATCTATGAGTCAACAGGTCAAGTTACTGGGTTACACCCTTATCATCAGAAGGCCCCCTAGTAGTGAGAAGGCCCCCTAGTCAGAAAGTCCACTAGTCAGAAGGCCCTTGTAAGTTAGAAGGCTCACTAGTCAGAAAATCATTACCTCTTCTATTGGTTTGTCAGCAACATTTCTCTTGAACAACTGAATGTATATTTGATGAAAGCAACAGGGAATAATCCCTGGATATCAGGGAAGAATTAGTAAACTTTTGGATGTATACCAATTATAAAATGGCTGCAACATCAACATTTTTAGAGATATTGACAGGAAAACACAATCATGCATAACAGCATTAGCTAAGGCCAGTATTACTTAATTTGTTGGTTTACAAACCCACCAATGCTATATTAAAAGAAAAAGATTTAAAATAAAATTGAAATGAAGGTTGTAGAGCTCCAATTACTGAACATTTTGCAAGTTGTTGCCTGAAAATCAGACAATTATTAACCCTGTTACACTTAAGACAGACATTTCCACCCAAATCATTATTTCCTCAAACATTTTTGCTGTATTTTAAGGGTTTAATATATTTATTACTTTTAATATTTACTTTTTTAAATATTTAAAACTTGAAATACAATTTCATTTGTAACAATTTGTAACACGACCTGAACATGGATTTTTTCTGACTAGAGGCTCTTCTGATGATAAGGCTGACCCCAAGTTACTGTTCAGATCTGTGGAGAGGATGCCCTGCTCACTCTAATCATGCATGTTTTTCAAGCAATTTTTAACCAAAAGAATTCCCTGTTATATTATATGGTAAAAGTGTATAAGTGAAAGTACAAATGAAATGCCATACTGTGGAACATTTCAGATTAAGCTGTAGCCTTTCCACAGAGACAGGTAGATGACGGATCCTCATCAGAAAAGTTACACAGTGCACTTTTAAAGGTCCTATATTACACGAAATTGACTCTCGTGAGCTTTAAATCATTTTAGAATACTGTTACCTCCTCAAAAACACACCTGGAGTTGTGTTTTGATTCAGTAGCCTTTTATTATTCATCTGTCTACATGTTCTGTTCCACCTTGTGATGTCATGAAGTGATAGTTTTAATGTTACCAACTCCTTTTGCCTTTAGTTCAGTAGAGATTGGCAATTCCAGGGTTGATCCAAATGATTTTAGTGAAGGTGTGTGGAGTTTAAAACACAGTAGAACACTTTTTGTAATACCACATGACATCACAAGGTGGAACAGAGTGTTTTCTGCTTCTGCTTGAGAGAATAACTCAGCCTAAATATACAGGGTTTGTGTGTTAAACATGCGTGAATGAAACAAAAAACAAGTCCAGGTCTGTTTGTTATGAGGAAACATTAAACATAGATCAGAAAATGGTGTAAAATGACCTTTTAAGCACCAACAAATACAGTTCAGCTATTCAATTCAATCCTGTTTATGAAGTAATGAAGCAAACTGTAAGATATTTCAGTCACTATCAAAACATACACCCTCTCAGAAAATTTTCAACAAAACTATTAAGTCTATTTTTGACAGCGCAAAGTTGGACTGTGTAACTTTTGCGGGTGGAGGGTCCTTCAGATTCTTTCTCCATGGAGATGTTATTGCTTTGTCTGGAAGGAAACCTTTCTGTTAGGGATGTCCCCGTCACATTTTTTTGCCCCTGAGTACAAGTCTTTTGATTTTGAGTATCTGCCGATACTGAGTCCTGATCCGATACTACTATAAAACATTATGAAATGAATGAAGAGCAAAGAATAAGACCTAGGATGTGTGCGGGATCAGATTGTGTTGATTTCAGTGTGTAGTATTTGGGCTGAACTTGTGAAAAATCAAATGTTCAAAACTTTAATTTTTATTAACTTTTCTAATCATGTTGAAAATCTTGACTTTTACCACAGTCTGGTCTTGGAATGTGTAACTTAGTAAATTAATGAACTGGACAAAACAGAAACCAGACCAGAACCAGAACAGACCTGAGACTCTGCACAATCTACACTTTGTAGATTTGATATTATATGTTTGCATGTGCATTATATTTCAAACATTTAGGCTCGTCTATGAAATCCAAATAATACAAAATCTTACCAAATAAAAAC